AGTGATCAACCTTTAATAAAAAGAGTGATGAGTTCTGACAACGATTTACACTTTCCTTCAATATCCTTTAGCTTGTTTTATAAAAAAATAATTCAAACTTATCTTTAATGAATGAACATAATTTTATTGATAGATTCAGGTCTACACAAATGATTTTTTAGTTTCATTGTTAACGGAAACAAACAAGCACTTCATGTAAAACAACAATCTGTTTAAAATCATCTTCCCGTTAATTTACCAAAAAACATCGTAACTTGAAATAACCACTCATCAAGAACCTTGTACAAACCTTTTTTCTAAAGTAATCCAGTAAAGCCACTCGCTATTCCCATGCCTCAAAGAAAAATTAGCTGAGTTTTTATGCTGGAAAAATTGCTCCGAAGATCAACAAGAGACACATCTGAACTAACCTAAGAGCAAACCCAGGCCAATACGGTCCTTAGATAAGTTCAGTCTTGCTCATCCATTACATTGAGATCTGATAATATACTTTTCCAAACCTTATTTATTTTCTAAGATATTTGATTCTCGATTAACTATAGTAGGTAGACAACTGTCTTACTTTGAACTTGGTTGACTCCATAATTAATAACTTTGAGATAAATATTTAGGATATCCATCTAGAGCTCAATGATAAACACGATTTATATCTATGACTAAGGTTGAAAACATTTAGCTCCGATTTACTGAGTGAATAGTATCATGTATGGAGCAAAACCTAAAGACCATGGGTTTGTTCTCCAACAGTTCTCTGACTGAAGTCAGACTTTCACAAATAAACTCTTTAAATTGCACAGGTCTATACAAGCAACCTAACTAGATATTCTATGTTATTTCATAGATCATAACTTGCATAATACAGAGTTTAACGTTTAGCGAAATAAAAATTTTACTTAGTTTATTCTATAAAACTTATTCTAAAAATTATCCGGTATAAAAATTTTGTGCTGAAAGTTAAACAAAACGTCTCATGTCTGTGGGAATAGTTCCATCATGTTTTATGAATGTTCGATTGATTTAAACATAAATTTCAACAAGAAGAACGAATTAAACTCCAAAATGAAAATGAATCCCTCTTCAGGAGGGGAGGTAAGTCGGAGCTCTATCTCTCTCTTTTTACATTTTTCCCCTATGCTTAATAACTGAGAAATCAATTGATTTCATGTTAATTGGAATACTTACTTCCTACTTTTCATTTTCAACATATCATTACTTACTAAATGAAATGATGAATTTAAGGAATCAATCGACTGAATTCTTCTTACTCCACAGTGTGTTTTTTTCTATATCGTCTTTTCAGAATTAGTTTTCATTAGTGATTGAAAGATTTTATGACATTTTACCTAAGCTTTTAAAATACAAACCAATTAACACATAGGTACACATTCACATGCAAAGATAATGAGAGAAGAAAAACTGAAAGAGATGATTAAAAATTAAAAGGTAAAAAAGTAAAGAATAAATGTAACAAAAGTGGCATATGTGCAAAACGAAAAATGTACGTTCTTAATGTCTTTTCAACGTGTTTGTTCTTATTGGAGAGAAAGAGAGGATAAATGAAAGACGTAAAAGAGATGAAATAGAAACAAACAGTTTTTTACAAAAATTAAGAACTCAAACGAGTAAATACCATTTTTATAATAATTAAACTATGATGGAACGACTAAGTTTGATTCTATAGGCATAACAATTATCAACTTCCAATGTTATATAAGTTTTTGAATTTAAATACTGTCATTTTTTCGTATTAAAATAAGTTTTCCTCACCATTAGTTTCTATGTTTAAATTGAGCCATGAATTCAAAATGTAAAGCATCCAACCTTTAAGATGTCGTGTTGTGAGTTTCAACCCCACATCATTAAAGTATCGTTAGCGTTCAAACGGTGAATTCAACGCACAGCCTATCCATAGAATTAATAATGTTTCATATCCATTATATGCATAATAGTATTCGTCTTCGAATGTATGCGATGGAATTACTAATACTTTTTTAGATGTAAGTGTACCTTATCAATGAATCCAGATCCTAGACTTCTGTTCTGACCATAATGAGATACACTTTGTGGTTGTTATACAAATATTATGAGCAAATATTTAAACAGAATTGAAGAAAATAGTATAATCATATGGTAGCACAAATACTATTGTCGCTTTATACGGTGGTGGACTAAGGATTCCAATATCCCGATAATTTTTCCACGTAACAGGTCTTCAAACAGACTTTCAAGTCCCAATAACTCTTAGGTTTTATACTTCTTAATCTCTATGACTATAAACGACGTATTTTGATGTACAAAGCGTGTGTCTGATCACTCCTAGAATATTGTATTCTTATTTTGAGTAGCGTTTGAGTAAAAGATAAACGTAAGTTGAAATCTGTCAAGTGACAACCTACACTTTGCATTCTCGGAAATGATATTACGTTAAACCACAAATCCAGATCCAAAAAACTTAGACTTAACTCTTTTGAACCAAAGACTTAAAAGAAATCTAATTTTTCCCTTCAAAATACTAAATCAAATAAATTTCACATCCACTAATCAAATCCAATTTGCAGAAACACCTAGTTACAACATTCATAACTCTTAGTCATTAGTGAAACCGTTTCACTCTTAATCTTTTCTCTACATAAATCACTATACTAGTAAATTTCCCAAATTCTGGAACGATTTTTCACAATCTATCCTTGAAATAAAATCACTTCCATTATTTGTTGATTGCATCGATGTTTATATCCTATTTCACGAGTGAAACTATAGGATGTTTGATAATTGTTATTATAGAGTGTACTTGTTAAACATGCCTCGTGAATATTTTACACTTACACTGCCTTTGACTAAGTTAATATCTATCCCAATCGGTAGATCATAAATCAACTTAGCACTTGTACAATGACAAGCCCATCACATTAATTTTTGCGGCTTTTGTTCTGCACTCTCTGTTTTGTTTTGTTTTTCTAACTATAGATGACTACGATTGCGCTGCAATGACATTGTAAATGATCTGAAATAAGTTATTCATACATCAACAGAACCCTCTAGTCAACCTACAAAGAATTACTGGCTCCTAACTGCTGCCTTAGCTTGTTGTAATTCTTGCGACAAATTTTTTTTTAATAATTTATAAAGTGCATCATTTCAAACAATTGAAACTCAAATCTCTGTCCTTTACGTGTAACATAGCTTTCAGTATCAACCTGATTATGCTTGTAAATTGGCATACATTATATATATTCATTCCATTGTCGTAACATTAATACCATTCCACAATCCAAGTCAACCAATCAGTCATTATCATAGGGAAAATGGACGTTAGTTCAAGTCCTCATGCCACATCAGTACGGCGAAACAAAATTAGCAAAAAGAACAGTGAGCAAATGAAATAATGGTAATGTCAATTCAAGCAATAGATCGGTTCAATCAATAAAAACCTAATATTTATCCTAATCCATTCAGTTAATCGATATTATGTGGATGAAAAACAGTTAAAATAATTACAATAGTAGAAAGCTCGTAGGTTTTTCCTATAGGATTTATATCAGGTTAGTTGATGAGAAGACAGGAAATTACAGACATATATATATATATATATATATATATATATATATATATATATATATATATATATATATATATATATATATATATATATATATATATATATATATATATGATTGAACAAAAAACTAACCCAAATTTCTGCCATTACCCAACCTATAACTAAATATGTCAAACAATGTCAAATATCTAATTTACAATAAACATATCTAAATATATACTTAATTACTGCATAACAAGCTAACTAGGTAAAACACTACCGAGAAATTACGAAGTACTATGCATATATTCTGTCTTAACTCACATATCATTAACAGTATGGTATCATACTCCCCTCACGACCAAATTTTTGATCTCAATAAACAACATATTACCCTAAGAAACATAGAGCTTCATGTCAGTGTCTAATATTTTCAATCGTAGTCAATTTAGGGTGTAATTTGACTTGTTCTCAAACAACCATGACAATATACTTGGTCGACAATATAAATCGTGGTTTTCTATTACCATTTCAAACAGGTTTATTTGGAGTTGAAACTCAAGAGTGTTATGGTTAATCCTGATGCTCATCATGTATTTCAATATTTTGGCCAGATATTTTATTTTCTAAAATGAACAGGAACTTATAATCTGTTGCCAATGCTGTTACCTGTTGAAATTGATCAGAATTACCTTATGATTAACATATTTGTTGCAAGTTCTAAGAGTTCATGTGCAGATAGTCAGTCATTCAACCATAGGAAATAGAATGAAAGAGATGCTGACTAATTTTCATTATGTAAAAGGTTTCTCTTTCACTAGTATTAACCATAAACTGAAATAATCTTTACTTCAACTGAATTTCTTCAATCCAATAATTTGATTTTTATAGATTGTTTTTAAATACTAAGTTTTTTTGTTAATATTCCATAACTGTAACAATATATCAGTTCCATTTGCAATGAACGAATGAAGTTCTACTTACTATTGTGGAAAATAATATACTTACAACAATCACTAATTGCTTTATTCAAGAGTGTGAAAGTTATTCTAAAGATTATATCTTCTGTAAAAGCTTATACTGAATGAAATACGGTGAACACTAATAGTACTTTACAAGTGAAAACTCCTCTTTTTACTGAAACTGACATAGTATTATAAAAACTTTCGTTCAAATTTAAACGAAGTTTCACAGTAGTTATTAACATGATTGAATGACCTGTTTGTTATACAGTCAACCGGAGAACTATGTACTTATTTATATTCAATAATTTAAGTGTTTGATTATATTTCGTTGAGAAAGCTTGAACCTGATTGCTGAACAAAATGTTTGATTTACTTAAGATTTAATCGTTGAGATTTTACGAATATTATTTTTCCTCCTTAAGGATAGAGTGTAAACTGTTTAGTAGTAATTTGGAGAAAAATATTCCATCAATCAAATTTTAATAATGATAACTTACATTTAGAATATAATGCCAGTAAAAGTGATACACCTGCAGCCACCATTAAAACAATCAATGTTACATCCTGTAAAGCTTCCCACATAAGTTGAAAAAAACTTTTTGGAGGTGTTGGGGGTATTATATTGGTCCCGAAGACTTCACGACGTTTTGCCAAATCATGACTTGATAATCCTTAAAATTTAAACAAAAAAGAAAATTCAACAAAATCATGAATAAAATGTAATTTAAGAAAATAAACAATATAGTTTTATTGAACAATGTGAACATACCACCAATCTTTAACTATTGTCAACAGAAGTTCGAAGATATTATTATTTATGTATGATCATAATAGTTGATATAAATATTCACTTAAAAATAGGATGCAAGAATTATACTTCTAAAAGATTTACATAATAATAACAGTAAGAAATAATTATTCCCAGGATCTCTTTCAACGATTGCTATTACAAGAATTTCGGTAACGGATAGAATATAGTTAAATAATGATAATTTACCTCTAAATTATCCGAGGAACATTGTCGTTTTCATAAACACATAAATTTACTTGTTACTTTGATTTAAGAAAAGAATGTCGTATTATTTTATTTGTTATTTAAAATCACATTTTATGATGAATCGACAATGAATAGGAAAGGACTGAATACCGAAGACCAATGAACAGATGTTTCCTCTTGACTTGAGACTTATCAGTTATGCATACTACTATACTTCATCATGAAAGAAATGGTTGAAAAGCATCACATTACAAGTTTATCTATATAAACTATTCTAAACAATCAATCAAGACTGTTTGATACATAATTATCGGAGTTACTGTTTTTTGGATTTTATTAGGCTGACAGATTATCGGAGCATTAATTTCAACAATATATCTAGAAGATATAACTTTCTCAATGGAACTAAAGCAGTTCAACGCCTTACTCTATTAGGAAAGAAATATTAAGTGAAATAAGCTTTCACCAACCAATACGTGACTCATTTTTCCGATGAAACATGCTGTAAGGTTAACCCACTACTAAGCTATATACTAATTTAAGACATTAAACTTAATTGGGATTTGTCTGTACTATTAAGATAAATTATAAACCAGGAATATAAAGAAATCTCCTGATCACCGACTCCTTAAAGTGGAAATATAGCAAACATACTTTGTTTCGTGTAATAAAAATCCTAAACTGACTTTACTTCATTAATTAATTTACTATCAATTTAGGGCTTCTAACTCAAATAAGGACACTGATGTAAAATTTAGCAAAACTTCACACACTGTACAATACAACTAAGCTTATCTGCAAACTTTGGGACAAATTGGATTTTCGTCATTCTTACAATCACCTATAATAAATTGTTGAATCAGAAAAATGAAGGGATCCTGTCAACATATTGTATTAACACTATGTAGTTATCCGTTATTCATTTTATGCACTAAACTAAATGTATAAATCGAATTTACTGGACACGTCTCCGTAGAACAAATAAATTCAAGAAAATAAAAGCAAAGCTTCTTGGAATTTATTAAATGTGGAAAAGTATCGAAGCATGTGATGCACTGTATCTTTTAAATGCTTATCTAAGATTTGTGAGAGTTTAATCAATTATCTATTTTTAGTCGGTTACCTCAAGAATTTAATTTCAGAGTAAAAGTAACTGAACTTGATATTATCGTTTCTCCATATATTGATAATAAAATATCAAAGACATTTTAACGTTACTAAAAAAATAATTTCTACAGTCAAACCAATAATCACATAACATTACAATATTGAATAACTACACCATTCATGAAAACAGTAATTACTTGAAAACTAACTGTACTATAAACTTATAGAATAAGACATTTCACTGATTCACTATAAAATGATTTGATCATTCTTGTTCAGTGTTTCCCTCCTAATATCATGAAATTCATAGTCAAAAAAAATTATATCAAAAAGAAAAACTAATCTTCTTATTAGCTTTCTAAACTAGTTAAATAATTGATAAGTTTTGATCGAGGGAAAACAATATTTTGTATGTGTAACAAATGTTGATAAGTATTACTTAAAAACATCTATATTAATGTTTACAGTGTAAGTTCTTAAATCTTATCAAAATAAAAGTGTTGAAAATTCAAGTAAAAGAGAAAAATACTTATCATATGATAGAATGTATTACTTCTTGGAAATTATGATAGATAATTAAAATAACAGAGAAATCAAATTAAAAACAAACGTGTAAAATATTTTCTTTTACAATCAATAATTCATACTTTATAGATCTAAATCATTCATTATTTACTTGATAGACATTCACTCACTTTTTTTTAATCTAGAAAATAATCAAATCTGTATATCAACCTAAAAGGTGATATGAAAAATTACTAATTAAATAGTAAAGTAATGATCGACGAATGGTTATTTACTATTATTTACCAATAATGGCCACCTAGACTCAATTTGAAAATGAAATCATTGAAATAGACTATACGGTAACTGATATTTTGGTTGAAAAAAAATTCTAAGATTTATTTTTGTTCTACAAGCTATTATTTATCAGTATAAAAAAAAAGAAGTTTCTGATTTTTAAAAAGAGCGAAACAGAATAATGACAGGTTTGAACTAATCACTTCTTTGATCTTAGATAATCTAAAGAATAAAAATAACTGTTCATTTAGAAACTAAAAGTCGTTTTTTTATCTTTAAAGCTTTTTGTTTAAAAATATTAAAATTAACAATTTATTTTTAATATTCTAATATATTTGTTATCTAATGCCTTGACTTTTATTTTTCAACCTCTTTAAATCTAACAAAAATTTTAAATAAATATTTATTACAAGTCGTAATTAGTTGAAAATCTATTAAAAACCAAGAAACACTGGAAATGTTTCATCATCATTTGAAATTATTCATTCAATACACATCACAAGTTTGCCATTGAATCAAACTTGGGTCGTATGGTGAAAACGGTACCATTGAATCACTGAGTTGGAATTAAATTCGCTGAAATGTTTAACTTGTCAATCAATTGTGTAATATGACTATGATACAATGTTATCGATGAGTGACTGACTTAATTCTTATTTATTCGTAGTGAGTCATTATTAAACTGTTAGATTTACGTTCATTATTTTATTAGGTATATAAAAATAATAAATTTAACACTTATAAAACAAAGAGCCAAAAGTTTACAGTTATAACAACCATATATATATATATATATATATATATATATATATATATATATATATATATATATACTATAGAAGGAAAGTATATTGTTACATTATTCTTCATAGTAAACAAACTTGGATTCACATTCAAGAGTATTATCTACTAACAATTAAATCCAATCAAGATTAATTTTTTACTTAAATAAATTTTAACTAACAAAACTATTACCTGTCAATTTAGAAACCTTTATCAACGAGTCTTAATAGGCAAACCCAAGTTAATTCTGATTAAATGGTAATATCATGTTATTAATCTTATTTGTTTACTATTTGAACATATAAATATTGGTACAAACGGGCACCGAATATATATGCGCCACACAAGTCACTTGGTATGTGTGTGGGCTGTGATACTACTCAGGTGCCCATATCGAAGCAGGTTGTATTCTTAGGGGTAACACCCGCAGCTTTCAACCTAAAGGTCTGATCCACAAAGCAGTGAATCAACTTTAGGAGGTGCAATCCCATGGTAAACGGTGACCAACAATTGGTTCATACTCCATTTGTTCCATCAGGATCCTGGAGCTTATGTGCATCATTGGTTTAGAATCAGGGTTTTCCAACACCCCCAGGTAGACCCCTTGTGTTCACGAACTCGGTTAAAGCGCGAGCAATTCGCCTTGCGTCCTATTAATTTCGTAAACAACAACCCCACCACGACAAAGCGGTGAGTAGAACTTTCTTGGCAGTATCTGTATACGTGTGGTCATGTGAGAGCATTTAGAGAGGGAGAGCAGAATCCCCCCCACTCTCAGCCGTACCCGGGCATTCGGGGGCATTTTATTAGTCACATTCCATAGGAAGAAAATAGTTGCTCATTTAGAGTTTAATTACACTCTAAAGTACAAACTGTAGATATAAGACTACAACAAGTTGTACAATTGGAACCCAATGCTTTTGTCAAAATAAAGCATTAGCTTATTGATCCCCAACACAGTAAAAGGGATGTAGTGATCAACAGGACGTTTCGCTTATTTAACTCGGTTGATTTAATTTTATTGGTACTAGCCTTTCACTGACATTTAAATATAACTTTGGCGTATCAATCTTCATTCAATGCACTACATCAATTCTTCATCATAACAAAGGATAAATTTACTTGTTATGTTTCTGAACTTAATTTGGATATATTCCATGTACTTCTTGTTTGATCCCAATAAGTAACAACAGTGTTAACACTGTAATTGGCAAAAGGAAAACATAGGTTATAGACTGATATTCAACATCAAACTATGGACATAGCACAATAACGACTTGGGCAAGTATTTAAATAACTTCTGTGATAAATATAAATATAAAATAATGCAATCCTATAACTAAAGAGACTTTAATACGTTTAACTGCCAATTACTAATGGTTTAGAAACCTTGTTTTCAAACGCCTCTTAATTTCCATAATACTGGAACATATATATATACCATTTGCATAACCTCTGTCCTACTCTTATACCCATTTGTAGTTACAAACTATTATGTTTACGAATTATCATTTCAAAGGAAAATTGAGACTTACTGGTTAGTTATGAATAGCTAGTCTTTTAGTCATTCTCACTTTCTCAGGGCTGGTTAGTACAACCCGACCAATTTATTTAAAGTAGTACTTATTAAACATTAAAACATCGTTTTCATCATTTAAAACAGTAGTATTTACAATCTTTGTTGATCATAACACATTATTCAATATACTGTTAACTAAATTAATTAACTTCTGAAGTTTCAATAGATGAGAAAATTCACTGAATCTGCTTATTCATATAGAACATATGAGGAATTAATAAAGTGTGTTGTTACTCAAAAAAAGTTAAGAATCAGGTTTGAAGAGAAAAGTGACATGGCCTCCTGATTCTAGAGCCTATCCTCTGGCTTTTAGGAAGATTAAAATAAGCCCACGTGCTATTCATTAACCTAAGTCAAGTTGGTTTCAAAAACGTCATATTGGGAATCATTAGCCGCTCGTTCACAATGAATACCTCTGAACAAAATAAAAATTTAGTAACGCATATTAATTAAAAACATTTTCGTAATTACGATCTTCACACGTCATCAGAACGTAAGCCCGATCTTTCTAGTTACCTCTCAAATGTAAGCCCAAACTATCAAGTGCATTTGTGGATAGTAAAATAGCGTGTTCCTAAAAATTTCTCATTTTCATTGAGTCATTCGCCAAATCAACTGAATCGCTGAGCCACAAAATCAGATTACATTTCCAACCAATAGCGACAAACAACTAAGGCATCAATCAAAATTTTCCGACTTCTAGGCAACTTATGATTGCATCTTTGTATGTTTTCAACTGCCGTATCTGTATTCCAGTGTCCGAACCCAGTTTGCTTCTGCAAAAAATATCTTGTACCGGTTTTAATAATAGCTACCATATTCAGTCTTATTTTTCAGCACTAACAGCAATCAGATTTAAGAGACTGGTACGCTTATCTCACATATGGTTGAATTTTTTAATAGTTTAAAAACAACCAACACAAGTCAAATAAAAATCTGCACTGTATTAGAAATAACCGTAAAAAATATCTGAGTTTTAAAAGACCTACGTGACACAGGTGCGTCATTAATGACTATTTTGGCAGCATTTACGAACAACATATATTCATAACTTTTTGTTACCATAATAATTACTGGTAATAAATTTTAAACAAGTTAGTGGCACTACTTCAAAATGTTTTACTTTTTGACCATCGCTGCGACCAAATATTTTTTCCTTAAATCTAGTCCACTAAACGTTCCTACACCTTGAAGAAACATTTTCGAATAATTTTTTCAAACCACAGTCTTATTCGATTGCGTTTAACTTAACTACTTCTACTACATGATCTAAAATTTCCAGTTTATTTCGTTGATGATGGGACTTTTTATTCAACAGATATCACTTAAGAAAACCTATAATGACATAAGCCGTAGATATGACATTTCGTATTATCACCCAAAACATCCAATTTTATAGTTCGAAAAAGACAATCAAATATGACAAAACAACGCAAAATTACAAGAGCTCTACTTGGAAACAGGTAAACATTATTCTCTCATTCATAACTTTTACATCACTCGCTGTCTTTTACTCATTTAAATTATAACCGAAAGACGCAAACGACTTATATCATGAGACACAGTCGTCATTTGAGCATAATCCCTCACTTAGTATTCACTCATTATATCAAGGCTTCACTGTTTTATTTTTTCTTGTTAGAAATAATCTTAAGTGGTTATCTAAAGATTGTTAATCAGGCCCTACAAACTATCACGTTTTGTAGGTTTAGTCAGGAATGGAAACAAAATATAAAGTTGAGGTAAACCTTCTGCTAACAAAATTTCACTTTCTATATCAGATATCAAAAAGTATGCAATCTCTCAACGATGTGAAAGGATAGGTCCATATATTATCTTCTGCTTTCAAATTAGTAAACTTTGCTTTAATCCTTTTCTTTTAAATTTATCAGGTCTAGAACTATAGATATGGATTGGACCAGTAACGTTCCTAGTCTAACGGTGATATGTTTTTATGTTTCGTAAAAATGGATATACTTACATATATCTGGAGAGACAAACAGTAAGAAAGCATTCTGAAACTTTTATAAAACTGCAATCAAAGAAAAAACTATGACTTGAGACAAGATAACATATTCAGCACAGTATTACAGAGAACGCAACTTGAGTTGATATCTGCCATTTCAAGTAAATTTTTATTTATTTCTCCGTTGGAAGTGAACAGCTGTTCACAAACATCTCAATAAAAAATGTTGAGAATATTAAAATGAACTTTATAAGTGCTTTACAATATGTGAGAACCAGTGGTGGCTGTAATTTAAAGCTTTTTGAGAACTCCATTGCAAAACGACTTGGGCTCCACGAAGTTTATAGTTTCGTAATATATCAAAGATTTTTTACACAAATTCTAAGTTTTGATTGTCAAACTTAGTTACTCAGTATGAATTCATCAGTACCTTTTCTTTATCTGTTGGCTGTAGTCAAAAATGTTATGTAGGGTTCTAGCTTACAAGTTGTACATCTAACTGTGCTACCGTTCATTAACATTCTAATTAAAGCTATGGCTACGCCTATAGTCAGATATGATTATGTTTGACCAAGTGAATAAATCAACTTTGGACAGCTAGTTAAGTGTGGATGGAAATGATTGTTTGCCCTTGTAATCAAAATTTTGACAGAATTGTTCTGAATGAAATCGATTATTTACCCCTTCTGACCCCTTTATGACAAACATGCCAATAAATAGTCACACGCAGTAATTCAAATATCAATTTTATTTTTGCTGTTTAAACCCTGTTTTGTTGTATTCACCTGTGAAATTAATTTGAAGTATACTGATATCTGATCTTTGAGCTCTTCAAAAACTATATTTAACGGGCATAATGGGGTTTGAGTATGAAAATCGATATCTTAGCTCTCAGAAATTGGAGAAAGATTGAGGTTATTGATTGCAATTGACCCTAACCAGTTTACAGACAACCATGTGGCGCAAACTGAAACGTATATACCTATCATTCTCTCCTAGATACCATTATCTTTGCAGTCAATGTATCATTAACAAATCAGTTCTGGATCCAATAAGCTTTGTCAGGAACTTTGAGAACTTTCACGATTAGTTTTCAGGAAAAATTAGTACTGCGAATGTTATTCAGTCACTGAGTTAACAAAACCGAAAACGCCCAAGTCAGTAAACCCTTAATGATGCCTTAATAAGACTTGTTCATGAACAAGCATAAGAAAGCAGACAATTATTTCTGTGCCTAAACGATCCATAAGGTTATAGACCACTGCGTCTTGATATCATCTATGAGTTTTATGAAATAAAGCGAGTTGATAGTTTCTCTGATTTAGTAGTCGGAAAAACGAACACTCCTTACTAATTCTGAATATTCTGATTCCGATATTCTACGAAAAAGCAAAGGTAGACCACCGAGGAGGCTTATACACGGACGAAACATATGTTTAATTCAGACTGATTTTCATTGGCTCTGCAGACAAAGTTATTCAGTGACTAAACTTATCTTCGAATTACTTGCGATGATAGAAAACATAAATGACTTAACAGTAATGAAAATGGTTAAAAACGGTTATAAATGAAATTTAACATTTTCTTCAGTACTTTAATTCATCTCCTATCTTGTTTTACTTAAAAAGTCAGCTCTTAGAAGACTCCAAATAATCTGCTTAATTATATGGTACACAGACTGATTAAGTATTGTGAAGGTTAATGTTATCTATATTCTAACGATAAAATCGTTAAACACAATTTCAAAATTAAATCATTAGTACAAAGCACCAAAATACTTAGTAAAAGAACTAGTAACCAGATGATAAAAAAGTAACTGAAAAGCCTTGTCTAACATTACGTAGTACACGCTTCGAAAAAATCGCCAACTAACCTTGAGTTGGAGAGGTTTTAAGACGTTTACACAATCCAGAAGCTCCACCAAATCTTTTATTCACAACTTCTACTGCTTCAGCTCCACGCAACTGCATAAGTCCCTGAAGTTCATGCACAGAGCAACCAAATTCCGTAGAAGAATTATTGCTGTCTTCAGTAGAGAAGCGCTCACGCATTTTTATATATTTACTCAGATGGAATAGAAAGTAAAATAGCAATATGTCAATTAAAATATTATCCTTAGATCAAATATTAGTCCGAATGATTTGCAATGTAACCAGATTAACATAGTTTCGCATTAAAGCAAACTCAAAAATCAGTTTTATTATGTGGTAAGTAAATCGTAAAGTTAGGAACTCTTGAACTACTTTAGGGTGACTAAATCTCCCGCAAACTCAACATTCGAAACAGAGAATTTAGAAGTTGATGTTTGTTGAAAGGTTTAAACAAAATTAAATTTTGCTAAATCATTACCGTATCTAATTAGCTTAGATGACTAAAAAATTCTGTGGAAATAAGTTACACGATTATGTGCATACAAAATATTTGCTAATTGAACTCTCATCTGAAGACAATTTCCTTAATAGATATACTGTTTCAACAAATTAATTTTTATTAGTTGTTTAGTTGAAAGTCGTTTATTTTGTAATGCTACTACTTTTGAAGAGAATGATAATAATTCAACGGGATGGCAGAATTGGATGGTTGATTCAGTGCACAGAAAGTAGCACCAAGTTAATATCCAACGAAAATCTGTAACCATCAATGTAGACTGACCCTTTGACGTCCTTTCTAGAATATCCTGACATTAAAAATGTTCGAGACTGTTTTCAGTACTAATCTAATATCTCATCTGTAAAAGTTCATGCATTGCCTCCTTTCCTGAACGTGACGTTATCTTCTTCAAAGGCAGCTTTTACCAAGTCTTTTTCCCTGATTGTTAGGGCACGCGATGGAATTTCTTGTAATAATACTTTTGTTAATGTTTCGGTCTCACTTTAGATTGTGCCCTAGACGTTATATGATACTTCAGTATATCCTCTTAGATTTTAACGGCCATATATGATGTTGATAAGGAGTTACTGAGGACCGCTATTGTATATAATCCGTCAAGAATTCTCATTTCCCTTCCTATCCATAGTAAATTAGGTATATGTCCAATAAACTCATGGCTACTATCACGATATCCAAGCAAACAGCTATTTATAGCCAAGCTCTGTCCAACTAACTCTGTGAGTAGAGTTTTGATAGTAAGGCTCTTAACAATTGTGCCAGAAGTAGGTAGATTGTTAAGAGCCTTACTATCAAAACTCTACTCACAGAGTTAGTTGGACAGAGCTTGGCTATAAATAGCTGTTTGCTTGGATATCGTGATAGTAGCCATGAGTTTATTGGACATATACCTAATTTACTATGGATAGGAAGGGAAATGAGAATTCTTGACGGATTATATACAATAGCGGTCCTCAGTAACTCCTTATCAACATCATATATGGCCGTTAAAATCTAAGAGGATATACTGAAGTATCATATAACGTCTAGGGCACAATCTAAAGTGAGACCGAAACATTAACAAAAGTATTATTACAAGAAATTCCATCGCGTGCCCTAACAATCAGGGAAAAAGACTTGGTAAAAGCTGCCTTTGAAGAAGATAACGTCACGTTCAGGAAAGGAGGCAATGCATGAACTTTTACAGATGAGATATTAGATTAGTACTGAAAACAGTCTCGAACATTTTTAATGTCAGGATATTCTAGAAAGGACGTCAAAGGGTCAGTCTACATTGATGGTTACAGATTTTCGTTGGATATTAACTTGGTGCTACTTTCTGTGCACTGAATCAACCATCCAATTCTGCCATCCCGTTGAATTATTATCATTCTCTTCAAAAGTAGTAGCATTACAAAATAAACGACTTTCAACTAAACAACTAATAAAAATTAATTTGTTGAAACAGTATATCTATTAAGGAAATTGTCTTCAGATGAGAGTTCAATTAGCAAATATTTTGTATGCACATAATCGTGTAACTTATTTCCACAGAATTTTTTAGTCATCTAAGCTAATTAGATACGGTAATGATTTAGCAAAATTTAATTTTGTTTAAACCTTTCAACAAACATCAACTTCTAAATTCTCTGTTTCGAATGTTGAGTTTGCGGGAGATTTAGTCACCCTAAAGTAGTTCAAGAGTTCCTAACTTTACGATTTACTTACCACATAATAAAACTGATTTTTGAGTTTGCTTTAATGCGAAACTATGTTAATCTGGTTACATTGCAAATCATTCGGACTAATATTTGATCTAAGGATAATATTTTAATTGACATATTGCTATTTTACTTTCTATTCCATCTGAGTAAATATATAAAAATGCGTGAGCGCTTCTCTACTGAAGACAGCAATAATTCTTCTACGGAATTTGGTTGCTCTGTGCATGAACTTCAGGGACTTATGCAGTTGCGTGGAGCTGAAGCAGTAGAAGTTGTGAATAAAAGATTTGGTGGAGCTTCTGGATTGTGTAAACGTCTTAAAACCTCTCCAACTCAAGGTTAGTTGGCGATTTTTTCGAAGCGTGTACTACGTAATGTTAGACAAGGCTTTTCAGTTACTTTTTTATCATCTGGTTACTAGTTCTTTTACTAAGTATTTTGGTGCTTTGTACTAATGATTTAATTTTGAAATTGTGTTTAACGATTTTATCGTTAGAATATAGATAACATTAACCTTCACAATACTTAATCAGTCTGTGTACCATATAATTAAGCAGATTATTTGGAGTCTTCTAAGAGCTGACTTTTTAAGTAAAACAAGATAGGAGATGAATTAAAGTACTGAAGAAAATGTTGTGGATGGTAGGCGGTCATTCGGAAGCGAGTGATTCCTAAAAGTGTGGTCAGACGACGGAAAAGACCAGATTCAAACTGACGTCCGCGATCTTTAGTGATGGTTGAAGGGTAGTCGAAGTTTGCTACCCATCACTCGACGAAAGCGCGAGCTACTGTTTCAGCAGTGATGTCCTTGATAGGTACTGCTTCTGGCCATCGAGTGAAACGGTCTACGCAGGTTAAGAGATAAGAGTATCCATTTGAATCCGGCGAAGGTCCTATCAAATCCAGATTAACATGGTCGAACCGAGCATCGGGAGTTTTAAATGAGCCTAAGGGACATTTATTGTGTCTGATAACCTTAGATTTTTGGCAGCTTACACAGGAGCGTGCCCACTCCCTCACGTGTTTATTCATTCCAGACCAGCAAAACCGTTCTGCCATAAGCTTGATGGTTGCACGAACGCCTGGATGAGAAAGTTTGTGCAATGTGTTGAAGACATTGCGTCGATAACGTTTTGGCACGATTGGGCGATCCTTACCTGTTGACGTGTCACAAAGAAAGGTTTCCTTAACTGTTTCCATCTGTTTAATGCATAGCTTGAGTGTTATGGACGATAACTCGTGCTGAAGATCAGTGTCTTCTTTTTGAAGTTCGGCGAGTTTCAGAAGGTCTATCGCTTGGAAACTGTTCAAGGAAGTTATGCGAGACAAGGCGTCTGCAAGTACATTGTTTGCTCCAGAAATGTGTTGAATATCTGAAGTAAACTGCGAAATGTAGTCTAGTTGTTGAGACTCACGGGGAGAGTACCTGTCAGAGTAAGAGCTTAAAGAAAAGGTAAGCAGCTTATGGCCAGTGAAAAGGGTAAATTTTTGGCCTTCGATATAGTGTTGAAAATGCGTGCTGCACAATACATAGCTAGGAGTTCCCTACGGAATGTGCTGTACCTCGATTCGGTGTCTAGCAACCATCTAAAGAAAAATACCGAAGGTTACCAGGAGTTGTTAACCCATTGTTGTAAGACTCCTCCGATTGCTGAGTCGGATGGGCCTACTGCGATGCTAATGGGTGCCTGAGTGTCCTGATGTGCAAGCTTTGATGCTTCGGCGATAAGTTCCTTAATTGCGGAGAATGCTTTTCGTGCGGTGTCGTCCAAATTAATAGATTTCGCATTTCCACGAAGTTGGTCGGTAAAGGTTTCATGAGTAAAGCGCATTTAGGTATGAAACGTCTATAGAAACTTACCAGGCCGTTAAACGTGCGTAATTGCTTGACGGTGGTCAGTTCTGGGTAGTCCAGAAGTGCTGCCACTGTGGTTCTAAGGGGTCGAATGCCTTGGGCATCTATAGTGTGTCGTAGGAAGTTTAATGAATCAGCTCCGATTTGGCATTTCTGAACGTTTACAGTAATGCCATGTTTTTGTAGTCGGTCGAAAACAAGATCCAGATGCTTGAGATGTGATTCTCTGTCCGGACTTGAGATTAGGCAGTCGTCAACATACGCATGTACAAAGTTGAGACCTCGAAAAACGTCGTCTATGAATCTTTGGAATGTTTGAGCAGCGTTTCTTAGGCCAAAAGGAATGCGCAAAAATTCAGAGTCCAAAGGGAGTAGGGATGGCAGTTTTCGGTATGTCGTTAGTAGCCATAGGGATTTGGTTATACGCTTTAACCGAGTCGATTTTCAAAAAGACAGCTACCTTTCAAGGTAGCCAATTGTTGCTGTCCTTTTTATGGACCATGTGTGACGGAGATGCCCATGGGCTGTTTGACGGTCGTATGACTCCTTAGCCTATCATGTGGTCAAACTCGTTTTTCGCCAACCTTAGCTTTTCGAGGGCTAGTCGTCGTGCTTTAGAGAATACAGGTGGTCCTGTAGTCGTGATGTGATGTGTAACGTTGCTGGTTACACACGGTAACTTCGGTTGCGTTTGGTGTATCCCAAGATACTTATCGAGTAGTGGTTGATAGAGTGGGTCTATCGTATGCTTAATTGTGACTGAGGACGCAAACGAACAAATCAGTGTTTCCGTCTACTAGCCTCCGTTTGCGCGTATCGATGATTAGATTATGGTGTTATAGAAGGTCCATACCAATGATTGGCATAGAAACATCTGAAACAACGAAGATCCGGTGAATGGGTTTCCGTAAACCCACGTTAAGGTAAACGTACCTTTTGCCATACGTAGCGATAGGCTTTCTGTTTGCTGCCTGTAAGTTCAAAGCCGATTCGTGAAGCCGGTCGTTGAGATTCTCTGGGAGAACGCTAGGAAGCGGACCCTCGTTGTCATATCTGTGACGTATAACAGACGGTTACGGTTGTCATTAACGCGTGCCGGCTTGGAAGTTTCCCAATTTGGTGTACCAGATCACGTTAGGCTCACAGATGAAAATGCCACAAGTATTCAGTGTTTGACAACGCTTTAACCAGTAACACCTAGGATAACTCGTACCCACCAAGAGAAATCAAAAGACAGAAGCGAGGAGATCGGAAGTTATATTTGCTGACTATCAGTATATCGAGAATCGTCTGATCTAATCTGGTTAGCGATTGCAGTAGATGTTGAGCACGGCGTTCCCACTCATGGTCTGGTG